CATTTAGATTTCATGCCTAAATTCCTGGATGAACTAATTGAACAATATGAAACCTCGACTGACCCTGCTGATATAGATTTCATACAGCAAGCACGAACTAACTGTGGGGATAACCAAGAATGCCTTTTTGACACGTTAGCAACTGGAAGAGAAGATATTGGTATTCTTACTAAAAACACAACTACACAGATAGGCAGTCAAGTCAGTGATTTAGGTAAGTACTATTGGTATAAGTTACAAGTTCAGAAAACACTGAACCTTGCATATCACACTCAATCAAATATTCTTCATGTCATCTTTTTAAAAAAAATAAAAATTAAAAAAAGAAAGAAAAATTATAAAAAAAAATATTGTTTATGTGAATTTACCAACAATCTTCATAACTAAATATGTGATACGATATGTGAGTTCAGACAGTTGCCAGATGACATCTATCATGTCTGAATGTTCTAGTTTTATCCAAATCAAAATGTGCTAGATCTAGCTAGATCCCCAGTGTCATGTCATACGATTCTATTAAGTGTCACTCAGGAGTATACTGTATTGAGTTAAACCCATATGTAATAGATTAGAATTGATGAATAGGGTCAATACAAATATAGGAAATCAAACCTTCATAATAATGGAATCAGATTTCATAATAATTGAAAAAGGTTTGATAATAAGTGACATATTTTGTAATAATCCTAACAGGGTCGGTAATAATCAGAACAGGTTTGGTATTAATTAAGTAAAATGAATAATCACAATTTCAAACAATGAACAATCCGGTTGCAATGTAACTTCACCCTACATAATTTTGTGTTTCGAAAGTATACTGTAAATTTACATGTAATGTATACACTGATATTGTATAACTAATAAATTAATCAATTTCTCAACAGCAAACTTCCCACCAAATATCACGGGTGAAGGTCTAATAGAAGCAGAAGTTGGTAAACAAATCATAGTGGAGCTCAATGCAACAGATCCCAATGGTGATGACGTTGTCTATGACTTATTAGAAACCATACCCGGTGGTCAAATCTACCAAAGTGAGTTGCGCCTTTTATAAGTTATCATATTCCAAGCACTAAAGGTGGTGTTTATACGATCATGGCTTATATCACTTCATGTTCTTTCCAAAAGTATGGTGCAAGTATCTGCAAATTCTCTCTAATGTTCTTATAAATATTAAAGCGGGGGAGTCGTCACCCGAGAACGCGTCAGATGACCATAGCGTGCTCTTGTTTACAAACAAGCGTCTGCCCATGAGCCTTAGCGTTTTTAGCGTGTGTTGTTATCGTCGCATGCGACTCAATTCCCACGCGTGCGCAGGTGACGACCCTCCCGCTTTGAGTTAATGTTGAACCAGGTAACCCTAATTTTTGAAGACAGTCGTACCTTACAATCAGAATCAGAATTGTATTACTATGAAAGGTTACACTGTTTGTTAGTCCCCGTTCGGACGTAGTCCGAAAACGGGGACTTATGTTTTGCCCTGTGTGCGTGAGTGCGTGCGTGCATGCGTCCGTGATCACCTGTATCTCGAACATGCATGGACCGATTAAGTTCAAACTTCACTCATACATCACACATTATATGGGACATATGCACATGCATTTTTTTCATGATCCGATTAACGATAGCTGAATCACACATGTTCACCATTCCGGACCCGGATCTCAGTTATGCATGGACGGATTTCGTTCAAATTTGGTACATACATTAAACATAATAGGACCTTGATGCACGTCATTTTTTTTTTTTGATTGGGTTTGAAATGGCCGACTGGCGGCCATTTTGTTTTAAAGAATTCAGTTCTGGATCCGTATCCAAGACATGTCTGGATTGATCAAGTTCAAACTTCACACACACATGGTACATCATGTCACAAATAGATATGTGCATTTGTTTCATGGTCCGCTTAACAATAGCTGAATGATGGCCATTTTAAGGCCGAAAATGCATCAAAATCACGTATTTTCACAATTCCGGAACCGGATCTCAGTCATGCATGGATGGATTTTGTTCAGATTTAGTACAATGTCTTGTACATATGCAGGTGCATTTCGGTCATGATCTGCTTTGAATGTATATGTCACTCAAATATGAACGGAACGGGGACGTGTCATTGACAATGACTTGTTTATTTCAATGTAGATGGAAGTTTTGTCTGGACGCCAGAGAATACTGTCAAGGTGAATTTATCATTCATTGCATCAGATGGATCAGCAAGTTCAGCTTTAAATCCTATAGTTAAACTATGTGAATGTAAAAATAATGGCACGTGTAATTATAATACAACAGTTCAAGGTTCTGATATTAATAATGACAAGTTTGCGGTAAGTTGTTTTTTATTAATGCGAACAAATGCAGTGTGTATGTTTTACAATGAATACACTCAGGATAGTACTCATCATAACAGCTCACATGTACG